TTTGCAGTTGTAGTAATCCATCAAAATAATGACTAAAAGGAAGAATTAGGTTTACTTTTTGCATTGTCTGGTAACAGAATGTGTGAGGGTTATGTTGGCACATTCAGCAAAACGAGGCTGCACCGAACTGTGGGTGACATGAGTTTTCTTGTTTACATACTGATGATAAAATACAAGTTCCAAAAATTAACAGAAGTCTAAACTAAGGGTTTTTTTATTGGTATAGTCAGCCTAATTTGAAATATAAATTGTTGTACTCTACAGAAAATAATTGATTTATGCTGTTGGAAAAATCTTCTAGGTATAGCACTGAGTTCCTCAGGTATTACCTACTGGTTAAACCAGGCTCTTTAACACTCTAAAATTCCAATGAGTGTTCCAGCTAGCATTTTACTTTTTATGGTTCTTATATCAACAAATGTTGTGTTGAAAGCAGGATATTGTTCATAAAGGATGTGTCCTAACCGATTGTGAAATGCAGAGCAGCCTTCTGCTGTGCTTCAGACCAATTATAGGGCAAGAAACAAACAACTTTATTTGGGAGCTGTTTTGCTTTGTTTTAAGCAGCTGCAGTACACATGACCTTGTTTCAGGTTTTCATGTACGTGTTTGCAGATGTTAGAAATTCTTTGGTTTTTGGGTTTTATGTGTACTCCATGTGAGCTTAAATATTTGGAATATTTATGAAGGTAACAATTTTCAAAATAAATTATGAATAATATGGTGATCCAGAGAATGTGTGCAGACGCACGATGGCTTTTAGTGCACTCAGCTGTAATTTAATTCAGTAAAAGTAGGTTGATTTTTTTTATTATCTTTTTTTTTTTTTTTTTTGCTGCTACAACATGATGGTTTCTCTGTGAATCCTAGTAGACTGATGGAGATAGAACTATTAAAGCAATTTTTATTTCTCGAGTTTGCTATGAATTTCAGTGACAAACTGAAAAAAAAGAAGTTTAGGACTGCCTTTTTCTACTTTTGTATACTCAGAAAATAAGTAAAATGGAATCCAGAAACGTATAGAAAAAGGATTTGGATTTGTTCATCTGTGCTGAAAAATAAGAAATACCATAACAGGCAGAAGCAGCGAATTGAACTGTGGATCATCGTAGAAAGCTTCATTTCACTGCAGTTGGTTTTAGTTCAAGGTTGTCTGTGGTCTTTGAGCTGCATTTTTTCCTTTCCTCTGTTTTTTAACTTCATGTTATATTTGATGTGTCTTCTGTTTCTAGTTTGTCTATGGTGGTAGGAATCCTTCTGGTCAGAAAACTACACTTCAAGAATTTATAGTAGGAATTGGAAGAAAGGTATCAACCAACAGACCAACCTATGTATTTGAGAGGAAAGTGTTCTGCTCAGCTTCCAGGTGTGAACACTGGCTAGCATTAGTTTCTTCTCAGTGGAATAAACAGGGAGAGGAAGGGGTGAATAGAGTGGAGAGAGAATATGTTGCCTTCAATTGCTTCCTGCTCTGCACCCTTGCTTGGAAGTTGGTAATGATTAGGGCAGACCACCTGCTCCCTGTAAAAGTGGGACTTGTTTTATCAAACTTTCTCTACAGAAATTTTGGAGTTGTTTTCAGTACTTTTTGCCATCCCACTGCCACCTTGGGTCCTTGTAGTTTGGGTAGATGTTCAGTCTGCATGAGCCAAATTTAATGTGTATTTCCTTCTCTGTCTGCTGCTGCTGCAAGATTCTTATTCTCCTTTCTCAATTTAAAATGAAATACAGCTTGAATGTTACCTTGTAATGCAAAAGAGGTGAGATAAGAAGAACCCTATCCTGCTGCAACTGTTTTAGAGCATAAGAAAATTGTAGGGGCAAAAATATCTAGTGTTCTTATGCTATATAGTAAGAGCCAATGAGAGTTTACTTGGAGATGGGAGAGGAAGAAATGCAGTTGAAGTTTAGAGCTCTAAATTTTCTACCTAATTTGAGTTATTTCTTCCTGATCTCACTTCTGGGACAAATGCTGTCTGCTGCTTATTTCCCTTTCCTTTCTGGCACATTGTTGGCTGTTGGACACAGGGCTGGTGCAGATCTTGTGAGATCTTCTCCATCAGTGTAGGAGGGGATCAGGAAAAATAAATTTCTGGAAAAACTGTCTACTTGATCTGCTTGACTGTAGTGAAGGTAACAAAATGGAGTAACTTTACAGACTGCAGTAGTAGTCTGATGACAATATTCCAATGTGTTGTCCCTTCTACCTCTTTTTTCCTGTGAACTACAAAACCAGAGAATCAGACAGAGCATTGAAATAAGGAGTGCAGTGAGTGCAGGTAGACCCAATTTTCTGCTTCTCGATTCTGCCTAATTCTTATACCAAAATGCATTTCTAAAATGTATCAAGCTTGTGGTAGAGAAGGCAGCTGTTTGGGGAAAACTGCATCTTACACTTCTGGTCAGTGAGTGCCCTTGTTCAGTCAATTCATCCACTTCTTAACAATTCATTCAGAGACTACTGGGAGTCTAAAGAAATACACAGACATAACAAACAGGTATGTTTTGTTTTGTAGATTTTGCTTCTCTATTCCTTTCTTTTCCCCTTGGAAAAGCTGTGAAGTTACCAGCTTATAGGAAATTGAGCTCTTGAAAGACATAAGCTCCTGCTGTGGGCATCAAATGAAGGCATTAAGTGAACATGGACAGACCTATTCAGACAGGCTGTAACAAGTTGCAGTTGCTTCTGGAGTATAAAGCCAAGTTTTCCTTTTAGCTGTAACTTGGATTATGAAAACATGGACACTTGGAGATGCAAAGCCTTTCTTGTTTCACACTGAGCAAGTTTGTACCACCCACTGCTGTCCTGTCTAAATTTACATCAGTAAGATGTAACTTGGTATCCTCAGTTTCTTTTATTGTAGACCCTATCATCGGAGTGTGTTTACAGGGGGATTTATTTTGCTCCAAGGAATTTTAAGGAGATTTCTCCTTTTTGACTGTCTAAGCAAAATATGATCTTAACTTTAAGAGTTATATATAATGACTTTTTTATTAGTTTGTACATATATTTCATGCATTTCTGCATATTTTGAAAAGTAAAAAAGCAACATGCAGGAAATATAGTGGTTTGCCTTTTCCTGTAACTTCTTTGAAGATTTGTTTATCAAGTTTTCTAAAATTGTTTTAGCTACATTCAGAGAAGAAATTAGTTCATTCTTAATCTCAACAGTCAAATGGAAATCTGCCTTTGAGGCCTGTTACCTGTACTTAAATACTCTATCACAATAAGCTTTATTAATAGCATCAAAACTTGAAGGATTTTATAAAAAGTGAAAGAAATGGCTACATAACTAATATTTAAGCTTGAAATGTATTTAGAAGTCTCTAGTATAGCAGTAAAGACAGGAACTTTAATTTTCCCTTGGGGAATGTTTTGGTTTTAGACAGTGAAGTGTTAAGTGATGAACAAAGAAATGCCCACAACAAGTAGCTAGTTTTGGTCTCAGGCTGCTTGCATAGTATGAATTTGCCTGTAGATAGTTCAAGGCTCCTATGTCTGAGCTTCTTAGTAAGATAACTGTCAAGATTGTTTCCTTTGGCTCAGCATTGTTCATCTCTTTTGCCAGAATGGTTTCTCTTGTGTATTTAGGCATCTATTAGATTCCTTCGTTTTGTTTTGGGGTTTGTTTTTTTTCTGTCCCCTCCTCCTTGGGAATGTTTAGTTTAACTCCCTTAGTTTAACTATTTCTGACTATGAATGTGCTTTGGAAACCTAGAGGCAAAGTGTTGCTGCTGCCTTGTGATCTGAGCTACTTCCCAATTGGCTTTAAGGGCAGTTTAAAGTGCTGTGAAAGTTAATTGTATCAAGCCTGAACCAGATAACCTTCCTGACTCTTCTTTGAGCAGGGGTGGGGGCAGCAGCTGTTCAGCAACAGTCCTGAAATGCCTCCTGACTCTACAGCAAGCAGTGCTGGCAATCATTTGTAATGGAGAGGGTCCAGTGTTAAAAGAATATAAATGTGATTGTAACCAACCTGCTAAACTTCAGGCCCGACAAATAGACCATCAGTTTAAACCTAAATGTTTTCAGAAGGTTGTAAGTAAATGTCAGTGATTTCTAATGGAATCCAAGTGTTTTTCACTTCTGTTGGACCCTGGTGTGCTTATTTATCTTGTTGCACTTAAGTCAATTGGAAAAAAATCTATCACATTTTCAAAGCAACGTAGCAAAATACAGTGCCACAGAGAACAATTTGTTTGTTCTGGTTAATACTTTTTCAATACCAGTAGTGTTAAGATTAAAGATGATTATTGCATATCCTGTTACAGTATTACAGTTAGTCTTTAATTTCACTGAGGGAGGAGTAGGCAGAAGTGACGAGAGAGTATGAGAATTATGTATCATTTTGTTGAGTGGTATGAACTCCTGATTAAGAACCCAGTCTTACCTTAATAATTAAAAAAAGTGCTCCCAAGCATTATTACTAACTTCAGCAGCATCTCTGACCTAAAATTTCCATTTTTTTAAATACTCAGTGTCATGCTCACCATCCTTTTGTCCGGTTCTTTGGTAATCTTGCTCTTTCATTGTCTTCCATAATTTCTTCAAAATTGGTAAATGTCAATGAATATTAAGAGGGTTGTATCTACCAGTTTTACTAGAGAAGGTGGATACTCTGCTGAAATTTCAGTACTGTGTCAGCCAAGGAGCCCATAGAAAGAGAACTGGAGTTGCCTGTGAAATAGTCTTGGCTGATAACATTAGGAATAGCTTATAATAAACCCAATGCATTTCAGTGATCACACTTACATGTTTATCATAGACAAGGAAACTGTTTGTTGATCTGTCTAGAGCAGGGTTTTTTTCTGGAAATCTTTATCTTCAGAGCACTAAGTTTTAGCTTTCTGGAGTATTGGAAAAGAAGTATTTCTTTGACCCTAGTAAGTTTAATAATCTACAAGAGTTTCAAAATGACTGCAAATTACTGCAAATAATTAGTCAGTAAAAGTAGTGACAACTAATTTTTTGGTTGCTTCTCTTAGTGTAAGTTGTGACAATGACAACTGAAGTTGGCTCAGAGACTGAAGTAAAGAAAGATTCTGAGCAGCTGGGACCAGACAAAGCCAAGGACAAGCCTGAAGAAGCATCAGATACTCCAGAAAATCAAAAATCCAGGGAAACATGCTCTGAAGAAGCTCAAGACTCTTCTGTCCCAGCACCAACTAGCCAAAGTAGTCCAAGTAACCAGAAGAAGGAAAAAGCTGAAAGCAAGGGTATTTCTCGTTTCCTGCCCCCCTGGCTTAAGAAACAAAAATCATATACCTTGGCAGAGCCCAAAGATGAGCCTAAGAAAAGGGCCACAGAAGAAGAACAAGTAGTTGAAGAAAGTGAAAGTCAGACACCAGAGGGGTTGGCTCAATCAAGAAAGAGTTTGGAAGAAGCAGCTGAAAACCGGCATAATGCTAAAGCAGACGACAAAGAAAAACACTCTGTTAGTAGTGCTGAAACACAGGTATGTGTGGGAAGGCTCATAGGGACTTGGGAGTACTTTAATGAAACCTGATTCATAGAATCATCAAAGTTCAAAGAGTCCTCTGAGATCAAGTCCAGCCATTAACCTGTCACTCCACTGTAACCCCTAAATCATATCCTCCAGCGTCAGATCCACATTCCTAGGGATGGTGACTCTACCATCTCTCTGGGCAACCTATTCTCTGTGCCAGACCACCCTAGCTGTGAAAACATTTTTCCTAATAGCTAATCTGAATCGCCCCTGTCTCATCTTAAGGCCATTCCCTCTAAGTCCTCTCACTGTAGACATGGCGGAAGGAACCATCCCCCATCTCTCTACATCCCCTTGTCAGGTAGTTGTACAGAGTGATAAGGTCACCCCTGAGCCACCTCTTCTCAGGGCTAAACAAACCAAATTCCCTCAGCCATTCCTCATATGACATGAGTTCATGATTTATGTAATTCATGTAAATCTTTGTTAGGATCATATTAGGGAAGAGTGACAGCTACTCCAGTAGCTAGCTCCAGTCTTGCTTTTTGTGAAGTTGCATGGCAGTTCTTAGCATTTAAACTTCATATTCTAGGGTGACAAGGATTAAGCACATAAAGAATGTTTCATACAAGGAGAGGCTGAGACAGTAGGTACTGGTTGGCCTGGAGAAGGGAAGGATCCAGGGGATATTATCAATGTCTATTAATACCTGCAGGGAGGGAATGAAAATGAGACAGACTGTCAGTGGTATGCAGTTAAATGACAGAAGCAATGGACCCAAATTAAAAACATGAAGTTACATTTCAAATCGCAAAAAAAATCTTTATGGTGTTAGGACCTTTCCTTGGTAAGGAAAGCATGTGGCCTAGGTAATGGTGGTACAGATGATAGATCTCCCAGGGGTAGTAAAGGGATGGGTCAAACATTGAAACAGGTTGCCCAGAGATGATGTGGAGTTTTCCCTGTAAAGATGTTCAAAACCAACAGGATATGGTTCTGGGAAAACTGCTCTACATGGCTCTAAAGAGGCCCTAAGTGCATTGGACTAAATGATCTTAGGAGATCACTTCTAACCTCAACCGTTCTGTGATTCTGTATCACATTTATGAACACTGAGATTTAGTTTAGTATAATTCCTTGGAGCTTTTTGATAAATTTGTTTCTCTTACGGAAAAAATGCCAATAAAACATATACAAAGATCTCATTTCAAGGAAAGGAAAAATGGTACCTTCTGTGGTTTGAGAGCAAGAGTATCTGGTCCCAGAAGGAAGACCTTAATGCTTATGCTGGTTATTGTGCTTCCAGTACATGCCTAACTTAATGAAAGATTAATGTCTTATTTAGTAGTAGCTTATAAAAGAAATGAACAAGTTAAAAATATTCACCTTCCTGAGTTTCAGTCATTGCTTAATTGCATTTTATACAGCCTGCCAAAGAAGATGGGAAAGAAACGGAAGTAGAGAAAGTTGCAGAGCAAAAGGAAGAAAAACAAGAAGAAAAAGAAAAGGAGACAAAAGAAGTGCAGACAGCTGAAATTAAAATGGATAACATTCCTCAGAAATCTCCCAAGAAAGTAAAAACTGTGCAGTGTAAAGTGATGCTTCTGGATGGCACAGAATACAGCTGTGACCTGGAGGTAAGGCATCAAGTCTCTATATAAAGAGTTTTTTCTATAGGGGAAAAAGAAAATGTGTTTGTTGTACTGAGTGTTTAATGATTTCATTAGGAGTCAGTTAACATTTCAGTTTTTAACTTAATCTTTAAGACCATGTCAGTTTATTCTTAAAATTGGCCCCAGAGGTGCACTAGCAATTCCTTTCAATGCTGATCATTTAACAGCTCAAACTTGTTTTGGCTGTTGGGTTTTGTTTGTTTATTTGGTTTCTGTTTGTTTGGTTTGGTTTCTGTTTGTTGGTTTCTTTTTTGGTTTTTTTTTTTTTTTTTAAACGTTAAGGTTTTCTTGAAGGTTGTGCCACATATACTAATAATGTCTTCTTGAGTTAATTTTTTTAAAAGTTACCTCAACTGGAAAACTAAAAGTTTAGTGTAAGTTTTCTTCAAGGAAAAATGCCATTAGAGGTGTAAAACACATATTTGTATTTAAAGTTTTGTTCTAGTTCCAAATTTTCCCAGCTGTGTGGATTGCTTGTTCACGGCTGTAAATCACTGGGTTAGCTATTGTGTATATTTGTCTGTTAAATCTCACTGAAGATCACTAACAGAAATAGGGATTTTGAGATGAATGGGAAAAACCTTCTTGGGTTTTTATGGATTTCATAACCTTTGACTCTGTGTGTGTGTAAATATATATATATGTATGTATGTATGTATCCAAGTTCTAAGTCAGATAAAGATGTTTTAATATTTTAGACCAAGATTAAATTGTGAAACATAGTTACGTGAAAGGAGGAAAAAAAGTTGTGTTTCAAATCTTAATTGCGGGAAATAACCTTTGGTTTGAATTATGAGAATTTTTCTAGAAGTAAGTAGTAAAATTACTTCAGGCTACTACTGTTTCCCAGTAGGTGCCAGTCACTTCAGTACAAAGGGGTGAGAGCTGTTCTCTGTTATGAAGTTCAGTTGTAATCACTTTTGCCAGTAGAAGATGGAACACCAACTATTATAAACTGTATGATGTCTTCAGGCACACGTTCTCAAAGGTTTGGAATCATTTTAACTAGTCACTCCCTATTTCATGCTGGACTGATGAATACCCCAGAAATAAGCTCATTCATTTAATACTGGGATATGATATCCCTTTGGAAGGAAGACAAGTGTTCCTTGTAGAACAGTTGATATTTCGAAACCAGACTTTGAGCTGGTAAGTTGTAAGACACATTAAAATTTGCTTATCTGTATTTGGTATTTCCATTAAACTTTGAAAAACACTTTATAGTACCTGAAGACTTCAGCTTTGAGGCTCAAAGGTAGCATAGGTGACAGTTTCAAAAGTTCTTCCAGCTAGTAGCACCAAAGGTAGACTCTGATAATGAGGCTTGGGTTCCATTGCACAGCTGCGTCTCAATCATAGAAGAACATTTTCTTTTCAGCAGCTGATTTGGCAGGACAGGAGCTCTGAACTGTTCCGTGGGTTCAATTATTTGTAAAGTTTTGGGAAAATGAGGAATCCAGTGAATGGAACAGCTGGTGAAGTCTGTTTGGCTTTCTGGTGCTTCACTTCTTGTTGCCTCCAGTTATTGTCCTTTCTCTTTGTGAAATGTGTCTTACTGGTAGTCATAAGAGAGGTGGTGAGAAGCTTCTGTGGGGATTTTTACCACTGTGTACAAATGCCCCCTGGCTGGGGGATGAGTAAAGAAGGTGGGGCCAGGCCTTTGTCAGTGGTGCCCAATGGTAGTATGAGAAGAGAGAAGCACAAACTAAAATACTGCAAAAAGCAGTTCCATAAAAATCTTACCTGTTTATCACTGTTATCCAAGTGCCTGCTTTTCTCTAGTATTTTTTTGAAGTAAGACAATAAATTCTTAGATGATTGGGAACTCTCTTAGGTTTATTCCGCATTGGTACAATTGGAAGACTGTACTTTGAGACTTTGAGGACAGATGAGTGTAGGAACAGCATCCTTAGCAGTCCCCATTAAGAGCTTCTAAAATAGCAACTCTCTTTTGTTATTGCTCATTGAATGTTATGATCTAGGCTAGTTGTGTAGTCTGACGCTTATGTTTGTACTGCTCTCTATTTTCCCTTGTTTCAAAAAAAGTAGTCTTAGTATAGATTCAGGTGATAGCTGTGGAGTTTTGACAGTTGTGGGGTTTTTTTACTTTAATTTACTTTCTTTTTTCTGTCCATCTTGATTTTAATTTTTCCTGAGAGAACAGAATATCCATCGACAATAGTCTGTGTGCTTAGGAAGAAATGTATTTTCAGTAGACCAGAAACTGCTCTCTAAACTGCTGACCACATGATGGTTAGATTTATATCCTGCTTATATTCCCCTTTGCTTTGTGAGCTTAATTTAGTTTTAGACATATTTGTGGCTGAATTTCTTCAACTTCAGTGCTTTAAAACATTTCAACAAACTTAATTTTTCTAACGTGCATTTTGTATTTTAGATACGGAAGGAACAAAACCTTGTTTCATATAATGTCTTACACAAAAATAGTTCTTTACACACAACCACCCCCCACTTCACTCTCCTTCCCCCTAACACCGAAGCTGATTTTGCTCAGTTGGTACAAACTATATTAGATTAATTTGTTAAACAAAAACTGGATATAGAAATATTTTTTCAAGCTTACAAAATGGATAATTCACTTAGGTGCTAGTGAGCTTTTAAGGAAAACATGAAAGAATTTTATCAGAAAAGAGCTTACTGTTTTTGCCTAAGGTTGGTGTTTAACAGAAGAGTTAATCTGGAATTAGTTTGTAAAAGTGTATTATTGCTGGGATTTAGACTAAGCAGCAAAAGCTCTTCAGAGGTTGTTTGGGACTAGGCTCTTCATGCTTCACTAAACATTTTTAGACATTAAGTGTTTACCACATGACAAGTGAATATCCTGACATGCTGAAAACTGAGTCCAGCTGTTATTCTGCAACATCTGAATTCTGTAGTATGAAGCTGAGATTAAGTAGAGGGATTAATTTAAGTGAAGAGGTGAAGTCCTGTAATTGATATGACTGAAGCCAATTTGTGTTTGTCAAAATACTTGTTTTCTGTCCTGGCTACCACAGACTCATTTCTGTAATAATGATTTTACATTCTCAAAGATCATCTTACCTGGGCAAGGGAAGATCCCCTGTAAGCAGGGGTTAATGCTGCCTTAGCATCAGCTGACAAGGGCAGGGCAGAAGCAGGTTTTGCATAAGGGAATCATGTATCATGTGGGTTTTTTTGTTTTACCCTAGAATCTTCAGAAGGGAGTTGAATTTTGGGAGCAGATATTTATAAGGAACTCTGAATATACATATTACCTTTAAAAAAAGGGAAGAAAAAAGATAAACCAGCACAAATTGCAGTGCAATTATAAACTTAGTTATAGTGCTAAAAAATTTGCCTGGATGTACATTTTGTTCTAACTGGAACTATTTCAGTTTATTTTGAGTGGATTAGGTACATGAGCAAACTTAGGATGTATTACATGAATAAAAAGAGATTTATTACAATGTAAAGTCTAGTAAAGTTGGCATAACATCTGCATAATGAGACATTTTCTGTCTATCTGTATTGATTCAAAGTACTTTTTGGGAAAAAAATGTGTGCCATGCAGAATGCACTGAGATTTACATTAGTGAAGAAAAAATGTTTTCTGTGGCAAAATGTTTCTGAAAGCATATTCCTGCATGCATCTTCTCTGACATGTCATTTGCTGGATGGGAACAGTTCACTCATGGTGAATGAGCATGTTTTTAATGTGATACAGAAACATCTTTGCAAATGACTGTAATTTGATGCTGTCCTTCCATAGTTCAGAATTTGTCATCAAATGTTGCAGTAGGAGTATGGGTACATTTGTACCCTTGTTTCTTTGCCACTTGCATGTTTTGGATATTGACAATTAAGTTCTTTTCTTGCTGCCACCTAATGTTGTTTGACAATGGAGTTACTTCTTCTGGCTTGTTTTTGCATGTCTTTTCTGTCGCGCAGGGCTTGCCTGACATGGTTGAGATTTGCTTTATATTGGAAGCCAAACATCAGATATTTGTCTTTTCTGAGGGTTAATTTGTAAATTAATTTATCACCTCTGAGAGTAATCTGTTCTTTTGCCTTAAATAGGTCTTCTGTCTGGTGTCAACTTGCCAGTTTGACCTTTAAGTCAATAATTCCTTATCTACAGAACTGTTTCAACAGATATTTCAGCCTCTTTTGTGATGATTTTTCTTTTTCTCTCATCTTTGTACTTTATAACTTCACTTTTGTAGATGCAAATTTGAGTGATCTGGTTTATAGTCTGTCTTGAGAATAGCTTCTCCAAATATGCCTGTCTGAATGCCAGTGTAGTCACTGCACCAATGGTACTGCAGTGTTGCCCGGAGAAGTCCATGACCTGGCAGCATAAACCTTGTACGAGGTGAAACCTGTTCCCCAGTTCATTGTAATGTGAAATTCTCATGGGGTTTGATTTTTCCCAGAAATAACTGTAGTCAATTCACCAATGCAGATGCTGATTGTAGTCCTGGATAGTTGATAAAATGTCTTGTGGTCTGTAAGTAATTAGTTTGCATCTTGGCTGCTTACTCCAAGGAATTAAAAGCTTTTAACTGGAAGTAGTGTTATGAGCTTTTATACCAGGCATTCTTCAAAATTGCTTTATATTGGTTTTTTTGGGGAACCTGGAAAGCTTCATAAGGATACAAAATAATCTTCATAAAAATGTTCTGTTTATGTCCTTAAGTCCACAGGTTCCATATTAACAAAATAGATTGATTTTTGTGTTCTGTAGTTTTAAAGGAATCTTCTGAAATAAATCACAAAATAATAATGCATAGAAGTATTATATTAAACAATATGAATTATGTGTACATGGTATGTGCATATATAGAGCATGAGTTATTAATTTAATTATTTTAGGCTTAGAACTATTGTAACTCTTAAATACAAAGTCCACTTGGCCTCAGACTCTTCAGAGTAATGTGTGAATGTTTGGAGAGGAGGAAAGAGGAAGAAGCTATTGTTGAGTA